CGTGCAAGCCGGGCTTGCCCCAGCCTGTCACTAATTACAGATGGAACATGAAGTTCAGAAAGGAGGAATCAGAATTGTTCCCCTCCCTCCAGCAAATATCCATTAAAAAACTTGACTCCTCTGCCTGATGGCACCAGAGGTTTTGCCGGCAAGTTTAAAAAGAAGAGGGGAAATGATTGATGGAAAAGCTGAAGAGCTGACATGCAGTTAAGTGCTCCTCTCCTCCTTACAACATATACACCCCTTACTTTGAAAGAGATCTCCTATTCTAGAGATCAGATAAAAACCCAATCACCAAAAAAAATGTGTTTCAGTCATACTTTCTAGGTAGAAACCTCCAGGCTCTTTACACACATGGGGAGGAAAGACAGGAATTAATCACAGAGGGCAACCAGGTTCTTGTCTCCCATCCTAACCCTCTGCACGCTAAAGATCTCAGTGCTGGGGACAGATTTCAGCTGTGCCCAGCTCTGCCAGGGCCTCACAGGGCCAAGGGAAACACAATGGACATCACTTTGCTGGAGGGCTCCTTTTGCCTGGCTCCAGCAGAAATATCTATTAGGTATTGCACTTCTAAAGAAATGATCCTGTGCACCTGGAAGTTGAAATGATCCTGCACAGCCTGAGAAGTTTTTGCCCTGTGCATTTTCCCTGTGAAGGTCCCTCCCCAGTGCTCCATTTCTGGCCCTCTGAAATCCCCACTCTGAGCTGAAGGGAAGCCCAGAGGATTATCTGGAGACCAGTGTTATCTCTAAGTGGAGCCAGATGTATAAATCCCATTATTCCAAAAATAATTGTTATAGAATAAGATGTCCTTTCAGAGATTTACAGTTTGGGATGCTTCTCCTTCCCTGGAGTCCCCTCCCAACACGCTGCAAGTAATGCTCTACACCCATATCACATGTCCCTCCACTAAACTCGGCCCCACCAGCTGCATAATGAAGACATCAAAGTCATGAGGGCTCTCTCAGCCCTCAGCCTGCTCTGAGCAGTTTTCAGGGCTTGTTCCATGCAGTCAAGACCAGAGAGAGGCAGCTCCAGTGCCTGGAGACACTCTGCCTCAGGGTTTTCAGCTCTGGGGCCCAGCCAACGGGGACAGAGGTGGCAATGCCAGGCTGGATGTCGCAGACCCACCCAGATGCTCTCAGGGAAGGGTTCCTGCACTGCTAAACAAGGGGCAAACGCTCACTGAGGGGTGATTACCTCAGAACTGTCCCACAGAATGGCAGAATCATTTCATTGGAAAAGCCCGCTGAGATCACTGAGTCCAACCATTCCCCCAGCACTGCCAAGGCCACCAATGAACCAATGTGTCACCAATGTGTCCCCAAGTGACACATCTACACAGTTTTTGGACACTTCCACCACTTCCCTGGGTAGCCTGTTCCAAAGCCTGACCCCCATTTCAGTGAAGATGTTTTCCCCAACATCCAAACCCCCCTTGGCACTGCTTGAGGCCATTTCCTTTTGCTCCTGCTCAACAGCTGCTGGAGCCCAGTCTCCACAGCCTGCTCCTAGCACAAGACAGGCACATTTTAATGGCAGCAGGGAGCAGAAACTGGGATGGGAAGCAATTCTGGGAATGCTTTGGGCTCACCCCTTTGCTCTGAGGGAGTCTCAGACACTGGAGGAGGCAGGTGCTCAGCTTTCCTTAAAATGTTTATCCCTGGGCTTGTTTTGCCAGCAGGAAGCCCTTCCAGCACCACACATCTTTGGCCTCTCACTGGAGAGCTAGAAAGTTTCCATGGAAACTGGTAAATGCAAAATTATGGCTTGACAGCGGTGTTCTGAGGAAGGGGAACCAACCCCCTTCCATTTGCTCCTGTCCCTGGCCCAGGGGCTGCGTGTCCCCATGGCTGGGGTGGGATGTGACCCTGTCACAGCTCCATGCTGGACACAGGAGGAAGGGTTGGGACACCTGGGAGCACAGCAGGGCAGTGCTGGCTGCTCTGGGGCTTTTTACAACTTTACCAGGCCTTTCTGGGAAAAGTCTGTGAGAAAATCAGAAAAAAGGATGAGAAACAATCTTATCCTCGCCTGCTACACCTGTTGTGATCGTGTAGAGTGTGTTATAAAGATTTGTTTACCAAAAAGTGGTTTCTTAATTAGCCAATGGTGAGGGTGTGTAGATTTGCGGACCAATTAGGTCCAGGTGTATCAAACTGTCTATAAAAGCAAGGAGTTTCTTAATAATAATAACATAATAAAGATCAACCTTCTGATAATCATGGAATCAATAGTAATTATTACCCAGCTGGGGGCCCATTACTATGACAGAGAGAGGCAGGCACAGCTCTGCCCTGGCTCTGCTGCCTGCAAGCCCAGACAGCACCCAGATATCCTGGATCCACTGACCACCTCACTGCCTCATCCCAAAACAGCCGCAAATCCCAGGATTATTACAAAGGAGGCCAACCATCTTGGGTGTGACTCTGAAACCAAACCCAACAGGACTGAAATTAAATTTGGGCAATTGGCAACGCCCCGTTCAAACACAGGGTGATTTTTCTAAGTGATTTGTAGTGGCTTCTAATTTTAAAAATTGCTACTCTAACAAGTCCATGATGACCTTGTATTCACACACCCAGAACGTGTTAGAAAAGAATTAGGATCAAATTTTCCAAGGGGTCAGGCAGTTGCAAGCTGACTGTTGCTGGCTAGGTCAGGATGTGTGAATGCAAGCATAGCCATGAAAATGGAATAATTTTAAGATACATCATATGTAAATATTGGGCCTTGAGAAATATCAACGTGGATTCATTTAAATCCATTCCCAGTGAGAACACCTGATCTTGGTCACTGGGGCCTCTTCCTCCAGCTGTTCTAGCCCTGCCTGAATGAGAGGGTGCTGAGGGTGACACTCACTGAATGAGGGGATGCTGAGGGTGACAGCCACTGAATGAGGTGGTGTTCCAGATTGCAAGGCAAGTTGTTTTCCATTACCATCTGTATGGCAGATGACCTTTGTCAAGTGGGCAGTTTGCCTTATCTCTCTCTTTGAGTGGCCACATTCACATCTCCCTCGACTATTGAATGTCACTGCATGGCTGATAAGAGCTACAGCATCCCATTGGGAGATGTGAGCACAGAGGGAGGAGCCAAGCATTGCTACCTGGATATAATCTGGAGATTCTGGAACACCAGCACAGCTTCTCCACTGGATTCCCCAGAGGAACAGCAGCTGCCTCTCCCACTGGATCTTCAGAGGAAGAATACATCCTTCTTTCTCTACAGGATCCCTGCTCCAGCAGAACCACCCCTGACACTGCAGGAGGGCTGCAGCCACAATTCCAATGGGACTGCCACCAACACCCTGACCCACAGGGTGTCAGGTTGGGTTCTGACTGTCAGTGTTATTCTGGTGTACTGCATTGGTTATTTAATCCTTTATTTCCCTTCCCTATTAAATAACTGTTATTTCCTGCTCCCATATTTTTGCCTGAGAGCCCCTTAATTTAAAATTTACAGCAATTGGGAGGGGTGGGGAGGGTTTACATTCCCCATTTCAGGGGAGGCTCCTGCCTTCCTTAGCAGACTCCTGTCTTTCCAAACCAAGGCAGGTGCTGCTGAGGGTGACAGCCACTGAATGAGGGGGTGCTGAGGATGACATTTAATGAATGAAGTGGTGCTGAGGATGACACTCACTGAGAGCCACTTGAGAGCTTTGCTGGGTGAGGAGTGCAGGGTAGATGTGAGGGAGCTTGCCCTGGGTGGGCAGATGGAAGGATTTGCACAAGACAAGGTCTCTGCAGGTGACCATGACCCCTGATCAGTGTTGTGAAGTAATCCTGCACCTCAGCCCTGCTCAGTGTAGAGGAAAGAAGGCTGAGAGGGGATCTCATTCATGCACATAAATATCTCCAAAGGGTGTCAGAGGATGGTGCCAGGCTCTTTTTAGTGGTGCCCAGTGAGAGGACAAGGAGTAATGGCCATAAACTAAACCATGAAAAGCTCCATCCCAACATGGGGAAGAACTTCTTTATGCTGAGGGTGGCAGAACAGCTGCCCAGGGAGGGAGGAGTCTCCTTCTCTGGAGACATTCCAACCCCACCTGGACACATTCCTGTGCCACCTGCTCCAGGTGCTGATGCCTTGGCAGGGGGGTTGGATTGGATGATCTCCAGAGGTCCCTTCCAGGCCTAATTTATCATTCTGTGATTTTTCAGTGGCCTTAGGTGCTTCTGTGTCCACCTAAATGCAGGAGGGAACAAACCAATTCCTCCCACAGCCCTGCTGCTGAGTGATGGGGCAACAGCTGGGTTTGGGTACCTTCTACATTCAACTCTTAATTGCAGAGCAGGAGTCACCCCAGGCAACCTGAGATACCAGGGAAAGCCTCCCCATGTCACAGGACACCTGTCTGAGGTATCCAGTGCCTTCCTGACCCAGGAGAGCCCATCTACAAACCCAAACCCTTCCCTGTGTGTGCCCTGCTCCTCTCCCCATCTCTGAGGTCACTGGGGATCTTGCTCACTCTCCTGGCTATGGTAACTGAGCTGAGCGTGGTCCTGTGGCTCTGAGTGAGCCCTCAGTGCTGCTCAGCAAAAATTTGGGGAGCACAGCAGCACAGCCCTGACCCCAGGAGAGCCCATCTACAAACCCAAACCCTTCCCTGTGTGTGCCCTGCTCCTCTCCTTGAGGTCTCTGGGGATCTTGCTCACTCTCCTGGCCACGGTAACTGGGCTGAGCATGGTCCTGTGGCTCTGAGAGCCCTCAGTGCTGCTCAGCAAAGACTTGCAGAGCACAGGAGCACAGCCCTGACCCCAGGACAGCCCATCTACGAACCAAACACCTTCCCTGTGTGTGCCCTGCTCCTCTCCCCATGCTCTCTGAGGTCACTGGGGCTCTTGCTCACTCTCCTGGCCATGGTAACTGGGCTGAGATGGTCCTGTGGCTCTGAGGGAGCCCTCAGCAGAGATCTGGGGAGCACAGCAGCACCTCCAGCCCCAGCCCCAGCCCCTGAGTGAGCAGAGGCAGAGCAGCCCCTGTGTTGTACTTACTTCCCATTCCCATACTTGATCCGGATGTCTTTGCTCTTCTTCAGCTCCTTCCCATCCTTAAACCATTTGTAGGATGGCTGAGGGTTCCCAGCAGTCGCCTCACATTTCAGGGAAATCTTCTCACCCACGTGAACATTTGGGCTTTTCAGTTTCTTCAGTTTGGGAGGAACAGCTGAGGAAAGAGAAACGGGACAGTGTGAAACCTGCCCTGAGAGTCAGGGCTGTGCACACACAAGAGGAACCCCCAAACCCCTCCCCTGGCCAAGCTCCTGCTGCCCCCTCTGCCACGAGGTGATGGAGAGGGGCTGCCCAGGGAAAACAGCACACAGGGAAGGAGCAGGAGTCAGAAACACCCACACAGGGAACAGAGGGAGGCTCTGGAGGCTCCCCATGACCAGGTTTGATATTCCACAGCAGCCCTATCCATGCAGGCAGGACCCTGTGTCTCCTGTCCCTGCAGAGCTTTGCTGAGCTCTCCCACCACACACCAGCTCAAGCTCTTCAGGGATTATTTTTCCCCTGCTCCTGGCCATTGCTGCTGCAGATTACCAACACCTACAGACCTCTGTGGCTGCCACAGCCCCAGGCAGAATGTTTTAGCGCAGATGAAGCAGGGACAGGTCACAAGGAGCAGCCCCCTGTGCCCCAGATGCTCCAAATCTGCTGCAGAGACCTTGTTCAGCTCAACACCAGCAGAGCAATAACCACTGAGAGGGGCTGCAGGAAAATCCTGCGTGTGTAATGAGTTAGAGGAACAGCCATTTATTCAGGCTGCAAGAAGAAAAGTGAAAGAATAGGTATTTTAAATGGTTTTGTGGCAGCAGTGTCAGGCTGGCCAGCAGCCTCTCCAGCCTGGAGCCTGGCTCTGCACGTGGGTGTTTCAGCAAAGTGATTTTTACCATGCACCTGGAACATCAGACAGAGAGGGAGACACTTCTTATCAATCTCTGCCAGGCTTTATATTAAACCTGACAAGAAAGGATTAACAGGCTTGCAATTTTTCTTTCAACTGACAGCTCTGCACTCTTCTAGCTCCCTTTTTCTTTCTCAGTGCTAACCTTAAAAAAGGAAACAGCAACTTGCTGGCTTTGCCTTAAGAATATTGGTAACAATGGCTTCTCCTTGTCTGAGGTGTGCTACTGATAGAAAATTTCCTCTTTCTAATATGCACAAACCACCTTCTAATTGCTTTGTGCATTCTGATCCTGTGAAATGGCAGAGCACTCAAAGGCTGAGGGACTGGATGGGTTTCATCAGAGCAATCACTGTTCTACAGACCTTTGTGTGTCTCCTCTAGTTCTTCATGCCAAGCTAAGTCAGTGTAGGTTGATAGTATTTAAAGACTGTTCTCACCAAAAGGGATCTTTCACAAAATAATAAAAAGCACAGCCATCATCAGGAATATGCTTCTGAGGTAGGAAGCTCTCAGCACTTCATATTCCTGATGGGAGTGAGAAGCTAAATAGTCCTTAATCAAAAGGATCCCAGCATGGATAGAAATGGAGCAGTTCAGGGTGACAGGAGTGAGCCAAGCAAAGCTCACAGTGCCTGAAAGGCAGCCCAGGGCTGGGGTGGGTAACGTGGGCTGGTCCCAGGCACATCACACCTTGCAGCTGCCCCTGGATCCCTGCAAGTGTCCCAGGCCAGGCTGGACAGGGCTTGGAGCACCCTGGGATCGTGGGAGGTGTCCCTGTCCATGGCAGGGGGTTGGAATGAAATGAGTTTTAAGGTTTTTTTAAGGTTGATTCAACCCAAACCATTCTATGATTTTCTAATGGGACAGGGAGAGCCAAAACCCTTGGGTCAGCTGCAGGCAGTGGTTACAGGCTGTGCACTGACATCTCTCACTGCTTCCCAGTCACTGTGCTTTGGCACAAACAGGGACTTCTGACCAGAAATGATCCCAGCTTTCAGAATTCTGTGAAAATCCAAGGTGTCATGGGTTTTGTGAAGCCCACATCCCTGATCCTTGCCTGGAAATGGGTTGCCCAGAAGAGCTGGAAGGCAGTGAGAGGAGAAGAGAGCTGGTCTCTTCCCAGAACACTGCATGGAGAGCCAGGAAGGTAAACAGGACCTTGCTTTTATAGGGGTCATCTTGGGGAATAGAGAAATAGATTCTCAAATATTTATTCAGTCTGAATGTGTGTGTCAGTCAGCTCCTATTGTACCCCGAGGTCACCCTGTCCCCTGCCAACATTATCCATACACCTTAAATACAGGGAAGGTCCTGACCTTGCCATGGCTGCATCTGCTTCACTTTATTTCCAGCCTGGTGGTCTGCAGAATTATGAAGCAGGCAGCATATGGACATAATATGGGTTAATTTGGACTGAGATACCAGTCACTGAAGGGACAACTCTTGTCTCATTTTAGAGAAGCCACAGGTGTGAAGAATTCTGATATTTTATAAGCTAGAACCAGGAGTAGGATGTAAAGAAGTTCAACTGGGTTAAAACTGATACAACAGCTGAGTCCTGGGACATGAAAGAATATTCTCTTCTCATCTCCTTTCCATAGTTCTATGTGCTACCATTACCCTGAGAGGAAGAGAAACTGGAAACTGTCAGGGTCTCTGCTGCTCAGAGTGACCCTGAGAAAAGTTCCAAAGTCTCTTTTCCCAGCCTGGTGCTTGAAGAAGGAGTCAGAGCTCTTCAGTTCTCGGTCTCAAGGTTGTTTATTGTTTCTTATCTATAAAATTCTTTCTCCTGCCCTCCTGAGGTCCATCCAGCAGGACAGTTCCAGGCACTTTGCCTGCCCCCAGGGCGGTGTTATGTCTTTATACTAAAAACTATGTGTACAATGTTTACAATTACTTCCCAATACCTATCACCTATGTTAGACAGTGAGCTTCTACTCTAAACCAATCCAAAAGTGCCAACATGACAGCAGAAGATGGAGGCCAAGAACAAGAAGGAGAAAGGCTGGACATGCCCAGATTCTTCCATCTTGCTTCCTGAACCCCCATACAAAAACCCCTGAATTCTACTTTTCCACCCCATGATAACTTCACTAATATTCTACTCAAACTGTTGTGGCTTGCTGATCTTCATATAAAGTTGGTAATTTGCTCCACGGGTCATAATCAAACCCACAGGGGCATCTTGGGCTCTGTGCCAGGGTCTCTGAGCCCCCTGGCAGGGGTCTGGGCAGTCCAGGACAGCCAGAGGGATGTCCTGGGTGCTGACAGGAAACTGCTGGGAGAAAGGGGTGTCAACCCTGCCCCTCTCCACCAAAATGCTGGCAAGAGCAGAACAAACCCCAGGAACCTGGAGCCTGTGGAAGAAGAGGGCCAAGAACAAGCAAAGAACTCTCCATGATCTCCGCACCAACATGACTCATGTCTCACCTAAAACTCTGCACATGCCACCAGTGATGATTGCAGGACATTCCTAAGCAGGCAGATCCAAAAACCCCAAAGAGCTGACACACACACACACAGCATCCCACCCCTCCAGCAAAGAGTCCTGCCCAGAGAAAGGGAGGAGAACTTCTTTCCACCCCATCTACATGTTTTTGGTGTCTCACTACAGGAGGGAAGGAGACAGTGTATTCAGCTCCAGGCCACACTTGATGGGCTCCATGGACTGCAATCCCCCAGCTGAATCAGAGCAGTGAAAGGGGAACCCAGCCCCAAAATACTCTGGAGTGTGTCTGGGAAAAGGGTTGAGCACAAAGAGGCAGAGCTGTGCTCCCTGACACATCTGTGCCCCCTCTGCTGCACTGCAGCAGGAATTGTGCTTGGACAGCAGCGTGGGAAGAGCAGGCAGAGCCCCAAGCCTGGGAAACAGCATCCAGAGCCTTGCTCTGGGCAAAAGGGAAGCCTGGCCTTGCTCTCTGGGATGGGCTGGAAAGCCTCACTTCATAATTCCTGCTGCTTTCAGAAAAACAGAGAAATCTTCATTTAGAGCCATTCAGTGCTGATGACTCTGCTTAATTCCAGACAAAGACTTTCCTCTGGTTTTCACTCATAAAAAGTTTAAACTGCAATTCTTATTCATAGTCTGAACTCCTCTAACTTTGGCTTCCAGCCAAGAGATCTCTGCCTTTCTCTGGTGAATTTGAATCCCATCTAGCAACCAGAAACCCCTTCCCTTTTTAGGTACTTGTAAACTATGACTGAATCACCTTTCAACCTTCCCCAGCAGTAAACTAAAGTAGCTTGAGAGGCCTGAGCAGCACATGGAGTGCTAATACTGGAGTATATCAAAACTTTACATTTAGGTACACTTTCAGCTTTTGACCCATTTCCCATCTCTGCCCTGTCCAAATCACAGAGTTGCAGCTCAGAAAACCACGAGTTTAGTTCAGAAAGATCAGAGGACCGATTCTGAGTGCCCCCTTTCTTAGTGCTCTGAGCATTTGGGGTCATTTTCATCTCCTCCTTGTTTGATATATTTTCCAGCATGCTGGAAAAACAAAACCACAAGCTTCACACATATCAAAACAGCACACTATCCTGGGCAAACAGCTTTAGATGTGTGCCAGGCAGGGTCAAGGTCTAATCCATTATGTTTCCATCAATTTCCAACTTCCCAGCCACCTCCACAAAGATGGAGCCAGGACTAAAACAGGGGTTTTGGACTTGAAAACAGAAGAATTTTGGCTCTGCTTGTCAGACTGAAGCTACAGCTCAGGATCTGTATCTCTGGTCACCTTGCAACCCTGTCAGCCCCTCCTCCATCCAAATTTGTGTCTCCTCTCCTCACAGTGCCTGAGATGCTGGACAGGAGAGCCAGATGCATTTCCAGGCAATTTTTCTAAGTGACAACCACGTCAAGGGTATGTCGTGCTGCAAAAACAAGTTAAATCCTGGTAGAGCTGAGACCAACAATAAAAACAATTTTTCTCCAGATTTTTGCTTGCTCCAAGGTCATATGAAACCCAAGCAACCATTAGATCCCATCCTACACTAGTTATGTGAGCTGTAAAAATTAACCTTGAAACATGCTGGAGCCAGGATGGACAAATGCACACAATTTCCTAACTTGTTTTAAGGGCCACATTTCACAAAGGACCTTTGCAAGAGAGGTTTGTCCTCTGATAGCAGCCTTGGCACCCTCTGCCTTCTCACAGAGAGGAGAGGGTTACAAAGTCTGAAACATTGAGCTCTAAACTGCACGATATGAGTTGTTTGAACATCCACCATAAAAGGACTTACATGTACACACTGCT